CCATGGCAACAGCCAAGCGCCGGGCCCAGCGGGCGGCCCAGGCCCGCGCCGGGCTGCCTGCGTTTTGGTTGACTTCTTACATTTTGATATTTACATCACTTTCCAGCCTCCTAGAGATCTGGAGGGAGAAGGTCGCTGTAGTTGCTAACACAAAGTCAAAATCTACCGGTGCCGTACGAATAGTAGATCCCGAGCTCTTTTTCTGCCAGTCAAATTAAAATAGAATCTTCCTTAGATATCCAAAACATACAACAAATTAAAGATGTGGGAAGGCACATCGAAAAAAAATAGCATACGTCAACATCACCCCTTGTTCTGCAGGAGCACTGCTCTGTTTTCAGATGGCCAGAATCTTGAAAACAAGCTGTGGGTAACACATTGCGGATACTTTGCTAGTGGTTGTCACCGTCCTTGGCTTGGCAGAACGTTAAAAATCTCAGTTAAACCACTTTAAGTGAAGCTTTCCCTGAAATTAGGACACTGTGATTTGGACTGGCAACTTTCCAGCAGTGTGCAGCATGGTGATAGCTAGAGCAACTGAGCTGTGGTGAGCAGCTGCTCTGCCGCAGAGATGCTCGCTTCACACCCCGTTCACTTTCCAGGAATGTCTGGACAGCAAAGCCCAACAAAACTTACATACGGATCCATGTGGCTCGATACCTTCTGAAGCTGTTCCTAATGGACCTTCAGTACTGATGTTTAAATATCACAGTGTTTGATACTCTAAAAATATCTGGATTTCCAGAGAGCAATCACTCTTTTACAGATTCCCAACTTGAGGCTGTGACTCCTGCAGGTGTTATAGGGTCAGAAAAAACAGTCCTGGCCTCATTTTCCTGAGAAGAAGAAGAAACATTATAGGTGGATGAAGAACTGACACGAGTGCTGCTCTGGCACGGAACAAAAAGTAGAATTGATGAGATAGAAAAAAAAAAACAGGAACACTTTCAGTATTTAAATATGTTTATCTTATATCACCCACCTGATGTGATTTTTTACCTTAAAAAAATTGGTGGCTTTTTGATTTTTATTTAAATGATTTTTTTTTATTGGCAGCTGGAGCCCCAACCCTATGAAGCCAAGTCCAAAGAGGCTTACAGGCATCAAGTTCATACACACAACAGCACTGGATGTGACTGCAGCATTAGGAACTGTGGTGTGCAATTATGAATTTGCCTTCATCAGAGGAATTTAGATAGTGAGGCTCTGGCTTGCAAGTTCTTTAATGAGGTTAATGAGGCTAGCACATTCTCAAACCGTTTGTGTGATCCTCCTTCACATACTGCTGCTGTGTCAGATCTTCAGATGAGGAAGACATTCAGAAGGGGCACACAGGGAGGGAGAGGCTCTGCCACCGAGCAGCAGCCCAGCCTATCTGCTATCTGCACACACCCTTGCCTGCAGTCCAGCCAGGAGCTGGCTCCTGCTCCTGGGCCCCTGCAGCTTCTGCCTGAATCTCGACCTGAGAGGTTGACATCTGGTACTGCAGGGGTACCGTGGGAGGGCTGCTGGTGTGAGATGCTGTTCTCACCACATTCTTCCTGTTGCATGATTCTCCCCATCTAGAGCTAGTGATTAAGGGGGCAACAGTGCTCAAGAGCAATATGTGTTCTCACAAGACATGCAGAATTCATTTATCTTCATTTTGTGGAAGTACAAACTTTTCTGTGTCTTTATAAGAAGCAGTTATTAATTAGGCTTGAGGCAGGGAGAGAAGGAGAATTTAGAGTTTACCCCTGGCCTATGTAAGAAACTCATCAGAAGATCTAAAATAAGAGGGATATCAAGGGGTTTACTCCAAAATAATTATCTTGCCTCAATAATGCACACCTAATTCCACAACAAAAGAACTCTCTTCTCTTTTATAGAGCACTCACACACCAGCCTCTCCTTGACTAGCTGTTACAAAATGAAGGATGCACAGCTGGTTTCCCTGTGTAGGGACAAGCCTCAAAAATTCCAATGATTTTTGAAGGCCAACCCTTCTTCTACCACTAACTTGCTGTGTTACCATAAGCAAGTCACTTAATTTCTGTTCTAGTATTGTCCTTTAAACAAAAAGGGAAAATTATACAATTATTTACCTCAAAAAAGCAAGGTGAGTGTAAATTAATTGATATTTATTTTGCTATCTGAAGATCTGGCTTTATGAAAGGGTAAATAGTAGGACTGTTTCTGAGTAGAGCCAGTGGGAGCTATTGGAAGCACAGGGAAAATCTGACTAAGAACCTGAACCACCCTGAAACTGAGTGCGTAATTTATTCATTGCTGAACAATGAACATGTGCAAGTTTGCATTCAGCACACCCTTCCAAGAAGCATTACAATTTGGATATACAACTCCCCAGAAAAATAGATGAAGCAATTCACATAGCGATGATTTGATAGAGCCCAAGATCACTGCATTCCAGGATATTCATGCTCTCAGGAAGTCTCTATCTGCAGGGAAGGCTTTAGGTTCTTAGAGTGTTTTCTAGCATTATTGCCCTGTGGATTAGAGGACTGTCTTTCATATGGATCATTTCAGCGGTCCAGTTTATAGCACATAAACAGTTATAGTGCCATAAGGAAGGGCCAGTTTTGCTTTGGGGCATTGGGGACAGGGAAAAGAGGCAACTTCTTTAGACAGTGTTAGTAGGAAAGGCAGCTTCTTGTGGATTATAACTTCTGTGTTCTTTTCTCTTTTTTTTCACTCACCAACAGGCCTTTTCTGACATCAAGAAGATATAAACACTCCCTGACTTCACCAGTTATAATTCTAGCCAACTCATACAGTCATTTGAACTCTCTAAGGGGCTTCAGAGGCACTTTAAAGCAATGCTTTATGCAGCTTATAAGAATTCATCCTGAAGTAAATCTATTCCATTTAATTGGCATGGGTAATTACTAATAGGGCATGAAAGTATTTGAAGTCATTAAAACTCAATGTGAGAAATACACATTAGCTAGAAGTGGGGAAAATGTATTTTTTTATAAATGCAAGGAAATGTTTCAGACTTTGGTATATTTAACATAGTAGAAATATTGAAGGATTTCTCTCAAAAAAGGATTTGAAAAGAAAGCATGCCAGGAGCATTTGCAACAAAACAGCACATGGAGCAAAGTGTGCAGGTGAGCCTGAAGGCTGGTGCGAAGGGATTGTCAAGTAGGAAGTACAAAATGAAATGATCAGTGTCAAGTCTGACAGGCCAGAATTGTGACCTCTCAGCTGTGGGCTCACAGAGGCACCCAACCACATTGCAGTTTCCTCTTGCCAAGCCTGTCTGTCCTGCTTTGCAGTCAGCAGCCTCTTTCTCACAATTTGCAAGGATCTGCGTAGTTCTTATGCATTTCTATGGTCTGCCAAACCACTGGAATAGAGAAAAAAAGCCCAGAAACTGTACTAATGGGAGTCACTTAGGACCTAGACAGCTGTGGATCCCTCAGAAAAGAATTGCAGAACACACATTTAGAACATGTCTCAAATGTACATTTACAGAGGCATGTACATAGCCATTAACTTTATGAATTTAAAAGGCTTTTCAATAATAAAGGCAGTTAATAACCTTGGCTGAAAAGTTTTTTGTAAAACAAACCCTACATTTTATTTGGATGCACATCAGAATACTTAAAAATATTATTTTGATGTTACCTTTTGGTTTTAATTTAGTATGCGGAGCAAGAACATGACTGGTTAGACCAATGTACAGTATTTCAGCTTAATGTGTCAGGTAGTCATAGTACTACAGACTTAGGAGAAAGTGCAAGAAAACAGAAGGAAAATTAGAAATTTTCCTTGCCTGACAAGAAGGTAATGCAAAAGGGACATTTTTGGAGAGAGGATTCCTTGATTCAGATTTGAAAGTGATGTGATACAATGTCAGCCATTATATCTTACCATTTAAGTATTTAAAAACAACATGAGCAGAATTTCACTGCTTTATGAAAATTCAAATACTCCTAAGTCCCAAGCACCATATGCATATACCTCTATTTCAAATTTCTTGGGCATAGACAATCTATAATATGAATTGCAATTACATGATTATATAACTTTCTCCCCAGTTTCTGTGAAGTCTGGAAAATCAGAGCACAACTCCGCACCTTCCTTTCTGCAAATTGTTGTTCTCTAGCCCTGAAGATAGGCAGATGTGTTGCCAACGAGGTTGATCTGGAGTGTTCATCAGAACAGAATGTTTCACAAACAGCAACAAATGCATTTTTACCCCTTTCCTGTAAGGTGATATTGTTATCCCCATTTTATAGATCAAATAGCTAGCACCTGGCTTTCCAATGTGTTTAGGAAGGAATAGCTCTTCTTTTCCAGAAGCGCATCTCCCCAGGAATTCACTTGTAATTGTGAATACTTCTGCAAATCAAGCCCCAGGCTCCCTGGAGTAAGGTTTAAGCAACACATGATAGCATACACAGGCACTGCTAATGGAAGAAGTAGATCTGTTTACTCCACACTATGCTCTTGGTTGCCTGTTCCTGCCCCTGTGCTGCCCCAACCTTTGCGCTGCACAGATGTTCATGTGACTCTACAGCTAACTCAGAGACCTGCTCCAGCTAGAAAGTAACCCAGCAGGAAAAATAACCACTAGCATTCAGACAGACCAGTTTCCTGATCCAGTTTAGACTGTGGCCTCATAAATGTTTGATACAAGATAGGACAAAATACAGGAACAGAAGCAAACAGCCAAGATAGCAGGTAGGTAGGATTCTTCACTCAATGGCAGCATCAGCTTGCTACAGATAGAAGTGTTTGTTGAACCTCAGAATTACGGCACAAACACATGAGTTTTGTTCAAGCACTAGACTTGAAAGGAAAAGACATGACTGCAAAAGAATGTGGTAGCAGTAGAAAGGACAAAATTTCAGTTCAGCTGCCCTTTTACCTGAAGACTACTGAATTCTTTCTTTTTTGACTGCCTGTTTCCCTTGAGTCTTCCTTCTCTGTGAGACTGTGGGACTATTCTTCACTGATGGGGCTTACACACTGAGTTTAAATGTAGTATTTAAATTGGCATCTCTTCATAGCTTTTCTGAGCACTTTCGGAAGGAGGTCCGTTTTATTCTGCAAATGAGTGTAAAATTTAAGACAAGTGAGCTGGGAGGAGGAAATGTGGTTTGATTCTTACCCCAGGGGTTGTTTCTATGTTTTTTGAAGAACATATTCTGGATGATATTCATATAAAGTCCAAAGAGTCTCAGTACTGACTTTTACTCTCTGGCACCAGGAATTCTTCCTTTCCTTTCTGGGAAATGGCAAAATTTCAGCAGTAGCCATGGAGAACATTCCCACCAAGAACAGCTCACAATAGCATGCTTTCAGCATGTGCCTAGGAAGTGGAATAAGTAGTTGGAGGTGGATATGGACCAGAGGGAAACATAACCCATGTGCTCTGTATTCTAGGAAAGTTTAGTCCAGGCAGAAAAGAGCAGTATCCCTTCTGTTGGCCGCATCTCAAAATGAAAGAGTGCCCTCTCATTTCTACTTGTAACGAGCATTTCTCTCCAGCAAAGGGTTCTGGGCTGTTCATACTAAGGAATGGAGGTACTTCCTAGTCTTCTTATCTTGGGCATTAACAGTGGATTCATTTAAAAGGGGAATAAAACAAAACCCAGTATCCTGAGGAGCTTCTAGATAGTTTGAGCAGCATTCTTAAACAAACCTGAATGATTAAGTCTGAAGAAAATATAAAAAGCCCTCAAATACATTTCATTTTTGTGTTTCAATAATTCAAGGTGACTATTTTTTAAAGTATTTTATACACAATTAGTCTGAAATATGGTTTTCTAGCCCTTAGTTTTCTGAGCAAAATATAGAATGACACAGTTATTAACCTTTGGGAAACATCTCCTACACACAACAGAATTAAATTCTACAGAAAAATGAATAGCATTGGGAGAAATTCCAGATGACTTACCACTCATTTGTTTGATGGATAGTTGGGCTAGCTATCGCTCTTTACAGAGCTGCCAATCACTGAGAGTGCTGGGATATATTCCCAGAACTCTTAGAATCACAAATTGCAGTCGCAGGGTTCCATGGCTTAAATTATTATGGAAGAAACAGTTACATTGCATGAAAAGAGATGATACTGTTACCACGAGAGGATATTATTGTGGTATCAGCAGCTTCCACTTTTCAGTGAAGTTGCTTCTTATAATATGACATTCAAAGAGATATTATTTGTTTGGAAGAGTGTTCTGTCTGAGGATTTCAGTATTGATGTTGAAACTCAAACTGAGATCACCATATTAGATAGAGAGTGGAAACTGTTGTATCAGTTTGTTTATTCTGCATTTGGCAACTCTCTAAATACTCAGTTTCATTCTTTCCATAGCAAAGGGTGTTAGTCACTCTGTTGTTCGTCTGAGGATTTCATATAGCAGGAAGAAGGGAGAAAACACTTCATGATTTTTGAAGTCCAAAAACTGACAAAAAGAATCTGGATCATGGCTAAAACATGAAATTATTTTCCATCTATTTTGAAAGAGCTGAGCCACCTATAGTTACCATAACAATTATAAAAGTGTATTTATACTCACAGAGTACATGAATTCAATTAAGAAAGTTAAGAAAGTTAGCTGAGTAGCTATACTTCTGTTTTGGTTATTTAGTTCCTTGTGGCTCATCCTAGATCTCTATGGGTCAAGAGATATTTTTTTTTTGTAGATCTCAGGCTTGAATTCTACCATTTCTGCTGGGAATAGTCCTCTCTTGTGCCCACTCTGTTCAAAAGAAAGATTTGGGTGGGAGAGGTGTGGAAATCAGAATTTCCTCTCCTCTGGTATCCATTCTGTAGGGTTTCCACAGAGAGCGTGATCGCTCAAGACACCACCCTTTTATGTGTAGGTTTTGACTGGCTTTTCTGCTTCCACAGGGTATGAAAACCTGATGTGGGATCTAGAATTTATCAGAAGTGACTGATAAATTAAGATCTCATAAGACTGCTTTGTGCCATCCAAACTTCAGTGGTCACCTTCCTCTTCTGTTGCTGTGTGTGTATCAGGTTTCAGCTGCTTTGAAGTCTCACAGATATTTTGCCAAAGAGGCCTGCACTGAAACAGGAGGATCCAACTTACAACTGCAACTGGAATTCAGCTTAAGAACAAGTAGGAAACTGAAGTGGTCTTTAAAGGATGACTGCAGTGATCTGTAAAGGGAAAGTGTCAGGTATATACAAAGCTATTTTTTCCTTTTATTTTTGCAGCTTGTATTTCATATTAAAGACATGAAAGAGGGAGAATTGCAGTCTTGTCTTGTGCCATAGAATTTCTTTACCATGACTCTTCAACATGTCATAAAAGTTACAAATACACATCGCAAGATATTTATTCACTAGTTATGTTGTAATGGTACCTGTATCAGCCTATACCTATAGCCTGTATAATTGCAGAAACAAAGGAATTACTTAAAGTAAATCAATGAGGATGTGAGTACGATGCATTACTTTTTAGTAATATGAGTGCACCAAGATAGATTTATTTTTTGCTGCTAAAGTAGAAAATAGAAGGGTCTGGCCTAGCCCTTACTCTGCTAAATCATGAGAGCTTTGAGTGTATCCTGTGGCCTGAAAACAATAGTCTGTGGGAAGATTCTCTTGCTACTTGATAAACATTTTCTTCTCAAGGGTCAAATATGCGGTCTTGCATATACATCCTTTGTCAAGTTTCACAGCATTTTCACAAGCAGAATCAATAAGATAATTTTTTATTGTAAATTGTGGTTTCAGAGCACAGAAATCTGGTTTGTTGATACAAATGTTCATTCAGTGCTTAATGGTTTTTAAATTAGCTTGTATAACCACACAAAAATTATTTACAGGAACATGCCCAAGTGCATTTGCATAAACTTTAGATAGATGTGGCTACAGACATTGTTGAGCATGAGTGCCAGCTGGAGTTTTGAGAGTCTGAGGTACTGTCAGTGTTTTAAGACTATCAAATCCCAGTGGTATTAGAATCACCAGAAAAAAAACAACTACATGGGAGCTTGTAAGATGGGACCTTGGGCAATTATGCCGGGGAGGAAGCTAAGAAAAAGAAGTGACCTGGAGATGCTGTTTTAAGAAAAAAAATCTGCAGTTTCCAAGGGACTAATGAACTATGTCTCAGAATGCCAGCCAAAGTCAAAATGTGCATTTCATTTTGGTGAAAGCAGGGAAGAAATGTATTCCAGTCTTGTCCATTATCAAAACTGAAAAACAACAGATTTTAAGAGTCAAAAGTTTTTTAAACTGAATAAAAGGTTATCTTTAATTTTCATTCTAGAAAAGATACAAGCCCTACATAATACTGTACAAAACCTATTCAGAAATTATTTGGCCTACTTACATGTATGTGTATGTTTGTTTCAATTAAAAATTGGAGGAAGAGTTCATGACATTCTTATCAGTTCTGATCTAGAGCAGCTGATATGCTTGTACTTCAGGATGTTGTCATAATTGTAGAAATCCCTGTCCCACCTTCTGGTGAATAAATCCTTATGTTTCTCTCTCAGTTTTCTAAAAGCCTTCTTGAGATTAAAATCTAAGTCAGTCTGTCTGTCTTAATGAGGCATCCTAGTGACATCATTGTGCACACACACATACACACACACAGAATCTCCAGACTTACTTTAGATTTCCCCTCACTTTGTATGGCCTGGAAACCTAATATTTTCAGAACTAAAAGGTGCTTTTAGTTTCAACAAATTTCTTCTTTTACAAATTTAAAGCTTTTGTATTAAAAAACCCCTAGGACTTCACATGCCATTTAGCAGAATAATATATGTTCTTTCAGTTCAGTGTTCCCTAAGTCACCTAATGACATAAATGGGTCTGCTGATCTATTTATGGTTTGCAGGACTTCCTGTCTTGACAGCGTCTTTGCAAGTTTTATGATTTCTGCCTTTTTTACCCCCACAATTTCAGTTTTATGTGTTTTAGTTGTGTAATAAGAATACACACAGAGCTTCCATTCTTGCCCTGCTAGGCAGATATTGCTGTTAAATTCACAGTGATTGTTTTCTATTATATTGTCTGGTGGAGTTAATTTCTTCTCTCTGGAAAAACCCCAAAACACAACCTAGTTGAATTACAGTTAACTATGACTCATTAATCTGAGACATCTGTTGATAACCCCTGAAGTCACTCTATTTCAACACTGAAACAATTCATAACCCTCTCACGAAACAAACGGGGAACATTAATGGATTAGTAACTTTTATGTCCTGCTCTCCTGTGATCTCTAGACTCAATAGAAATCTAAGTGTACTGTAAAAATAGGAAAGCATTAGCTGTCTAGACATCTGAGATGTGGCCATCCTCTCTGGTAGTTGCCCTGGGGTAGTCATTAGAAAATCTATATACAAGCAGGCTCAAGTTCCTTGTAAGTGGTGTTGTTGGCAATACTCTCCAAATTGAAGGCAATAGGTGTAAATGCAGCAGTGCATTTTTCCTAGCTGGTATTTCTTGCCTAAATTCTTACATGGCCTTTACTGAGATTGGACTTTCAGAATTACAAGAGATGAGTTTTGTGTACAAATACTTTTTGTCACTCTTTATAACTTGCTCTTCACTCTTTTTGTCTATATGACCTCTTAATTATAATTTATTAACAAATAGCATGAAAATCCATTATTTTTCTACTATGTCACTTCTGAAAAATGGGCTTATATTAGCAATTTTAAGCCCTGATGCAACAAGTACAACAATTATGTAATGAACAAATAACACTACACATTTTTGCAAGCAACCAAATAGTTTATGATTGCACAGGATCATTATAACTGAAAATGCACTGGCAATAACTTTGCAGGTTTTTCCTCCTGTAAATCCTTTGGCCTTTTTTTTGTTATCTTTATTGCTTCTAAGAAATGGGGAGACAAAAGCTGTTCAGTGAAATCCATCACCAACATAAAATTAGAGTGGTGGGGGTTTTCGAGATTTATGCTGGTTTAATAGAAATCAGATTCCTGCTCTAACATCAGAGAAACATTTGGTTAGAAGTAAGATATGTTGGAAAATTATTTTCTGTCTGCTTTTCAGTAGGTCCTTGATGCCCTCCTAAAACTGTAAACATGCAATTAATACAAGCACATAGAGTAAAATATTCCTGATGTTATCTTCCAGATGAGAGCTTAAGCCCTGTACAGCTGTGTTGTGTGTGGATATTAAATTTACCATAACATTTCTGACTGTCTTCAGTATTTTCACTAACATCTTTGGCTCAAATTTCCTCTCTTACATTGCCTAATATTAGTTCCATATCGATGTATCCCCTTCATTTTGCAAGTGGCTATATTGATCTAGGCCCTTTTTTGTGTCAATATGCACACACTGTCACAGCTTAATGCACATCACAGCTCAGATCAGAGAGAGTCACTACTCATCTGAACCCTGGCAGGAGCAGCATCAGGTTTGTACAGCGCTTTATGGGTTTTGGCACACCTTTACTATTTATAGAGTAATTTCTTATTTGTAGTAGAAGGATTTCTAGATGACATGGTAAAGCTGTATGACACAAGTAACCTTGCTGATGAACCTACCCAGAAATCAATCTTGACACCTTCAAAGTATTTAATGTAAGCTGCATGCAACCCTTTATGGTTTAGTATTTGTCAGTCACTCAAAATCAAAGTCTGGGACCGGGCAAGAACAAGACACTCTCCATCTGCTATTCTTTATGACTATTCATCATATTTTATGGCTGGTGGTTTGAAAAATCATATTTTGAAAAATCCTATATTGTCATTAACTATACTTTATGGATTGCTCTCATGGTCTGCAAAAAGCATTCTGCACAGCTACCTCAAAATTCAGTTTTGGTTACTTGATTTTAGGAATTCTACCAGAACAGCAACTACTCTGTAGCTGTCAGAGGTTGGTTCTCATGTCAGGCTATCTCCTCCCATCTCTTTCCCCAGAGAACAGACGCAGACTTAACTTTACTCATGAGTGGCCCTGCAACATTTAGTATTTGTCCTACAATTCACATGCTTAAGGTTCAAGTCACTGTGTGCACCTGAAATGGAAAGGCTTAGGGATTGCTGATAGAGGCAAGTGAAGGAGCAGCAATTTATATAATCCCCTAAGGGCAGACAAACAAAAAGCAAGCTAAAAAAGCTTACAAACAAGGTAAGCTGAGAAATGCATGCTAAATCAAGTAATGCTTACTCTAAGTGATCTTCAGAGGTCTAAGAGCACTACTGTAAGGAATCAGCTTCCTTTCCAATAGAAACTGCTGCAACTATTGCCATCACAGCATCCTTTTTGCTATCTGGCCTGGTTGATTGTTTAATCTCCTCTACAGATCCTCTCAATGCTGCTTTAGCAATCAGCTAGCTGCAGGCACTTACCGTGAAGGGCCATGTTAAATCACTTGTCTTCCCTGATGAGCCTGACTTCCCACCACTCTGAAACTCTGTCTCCCCAACATCCTGCTTTTTTTTATTTTTTTTTTTGCATGGCAACCCAAAGTATTGCTGGTGTGTCACTAGATGAGCCAATATTTGCTCATTTTGTTTGATGTTATTTCTGTTATCATACTCCTAAAAAACACAGCTATAGCCAAGAGGATCTCACACTTGGATTCATGGGCCCTGATTGTCTTAAATGCCTTTTTGTCTCTGACAGCCAGAAAAGTGGGAGTTAGTGACATATTGAGAGTGCAATAAAAGGGACAGTTCAGTGTTTACAAGGAGTCATGTGCATAATGTGCAGCTGATATCATGACTTTAACCAATACGGGAAAGCAAGAAAGGGAGCAGTGAGATTTGAAAGTTGTGTAAGACCTAATAGGATATAAAACTCCTTTGAAAGAAGAGCAAGACTAGCAGGTGATTGGCTATCACAATAAAAGGTGTCAACAAGTGAATATTAAAGTAGTAAACCTGAATAAACAGGGAATTCAAACTGTATATTACTACCTAGTGACAGTAAAATTTACTCAGTGATTATTAATTTGGCATCTTCGGCATCAATTACGCCACAAGCAAATATCAAGTTGGATTAAGAGAAATCCTGTTCATCATAAAGAAAGCCTCTTGTGGGCATCCCAATCCTGAAGAGTGGTGGCAGTGGCCACAGGGGATTGTTCTAAACTACTGGAATGGGCCCCTGTGTAATATATTAGCAGAGGCTTTAAATATATCACAGCAGGTTGTCTAGAGCAGATAGGATTTCATTCCCTCTGCTGTTTAATTGTCACAACTACTGCGACTGAAAATCCCTCATTGGATATTTATGTGGGACATCTTTAAAATTTTCTGCTGTGTCGTGTATTTTGCTAACAAATAAAGTACATAAGTACCTCTTTGCAATGTGCTACGTATTACAAACTTCAGCCACAAGTATGAAATGATGCAGCTGTTAGTTATTTGAGAGCCCCCCATCACATGAAGACAAAAAAGTAGCATCTGAGCTCCTTGCTCTTCTACAGACATCTGCTTACCTCTGTTTTCCAGCGACTCCACACCTGGTTTTGCTGTAGGCTGCTTTACTGTGTACTCTATTTCAGCAGATTACAAGACCCACAGTAGAAATAGGAAACCAGAGCTCTTTGTCCAAAACCAGTCTTGCTATCATTGCAGCATACAGGAAGGAGGCAACAATGAATATTGCCAGTCATTCAGTTTATTTCACAACTCATCTGAAATGCACTCCTGCATCAGTATTATCAAGGGAATTAC